TTAATATCATTTTTAGACATAACAAAAAAGTATAAAAAAATATCTTTGATAATGTTTTGGATAACACAATATAAATTATCTATACATAAATTCTTTGCGAACTGATTTTTCATAATTAACTATATATTAACAAACAAAATTATTTTTCAACGTTAATAAAGATTTTATAACACAATATAAAAAAGTTAGATAAAGATAATTATGATTCATGATAATGTTATAGATTATCTTATTTTAAGTTTAATAAAATAATTTTGTTGATTACAATTTCAAATTTATACAATAAAGAAATAAAATATATTGTTGATAAATTTGATTGATTTTCTGTTTTTAAGCTATCCAATATATTTTATAAACTTGTATAAATAAAAAATAGGTAATACAATTTGAAAAATGAATTATAACATATATTTATAACAGTCACAGCTTCTAAAGCTTTGAGTACCAATTATGTTTTTAACTTTCTCTAAAGTAATAGTTACGGCCTTTAAAGCCAAAATCTCTACAGTCACAATTATAAAGTCAAAACCTAAAGCGAAAGTCATTACCAATCGGACCCTTAATCTTTTCCCCCACTTTAACTCAATTCTATGATGTGACGAAGGATGATCTTAATGTTTTTTCTTCAAAAGAGAAGGAAGATAGAACAAACCTTGAAAGAACGCACAGAGGTTTTTTTTTCTTTTGAGCGCGCAGAGGGAATATAAATCCTGATAAGTATAGGCCTATATGCATCGACAAAAAAAATTCCCCCATTTCATATCAATCTCTTGAAATATTGAAAATAAAAAGTCAAGGGCTAGAATCAAACCTAGCAGAATGAGAGGGTTTATAAACAGTAGTTACCAACAACGCTGGCAAGCTCTCTTTCTCAAAAACTGACCCTGCAAATTGAAAAGCTTTTCCCAGACCCCAAGCCCATGCTTCTCTCCGGCGTTCCGTCTGTGAGCCTGCAAATCGAGGCACATTCTTTTTCATGCTGGCTTCATTATCCCTGACATCGAGAATTATCATCGCACAAACATAAAACGAAGAGGTATTAGTGTTTGATTTTAAAAAATAACTAGAAATTGATATTATCATAAATATTTTAGATATATAATTTATATTTAGTGTTATATATTATGTAACTCTTTAATTCTATTTTTTAGTTTTCTTATTACATTATTAATATATTGTGATTTGTTAATATATGTTACTTTTTTCATTAATTGTTATTATATTTCGAATTTGGTACAATAAATCTATAATCTGAAATAATAAAATAATAAATCTCATTTAAAATATCCTTTTAAAAAATATATGGTTATAGAATAAAAAGTTTAACATATATTGATAAAATTTCTTTTGTATAAGAATATTACATGCTTAACAAACTTTAACCTGTTTTAATGTAGATAATAATTTATATAAATGAAAGTATTTCTAAAAATAAATAATTTACTTTATAAATTTTATATAATTTGTCAATTTATTTATGAATAATTCTATTTTAATATAATATAAATTATAACAAAACTTATAAAATTCGAATATATAAAAAAAAATTTATAATCAGAAACAATCAAATAACACTCTTCTTTAAAATGTATTTTTGAAAATAGATAGTTCTAGAATCAAAAGTTTTACATATGTTAATAACTTTATTTTTATAATAATATTACATAGTTAACAAATTTAACCCGTTTTAATGGTAGATAAGAATTTATTTAAATGAAATTATTTTTAAAAATAAATTGGTTAATTTACAAATTTAATATCATTTGTCATATTTAATTTATATAATACTTCTATTTAAAATAATATACACTCTAACAAAATTTATAAAAATATAATATGTTTTTATTTTTGTTTTATATAATACTTAATTAATATTAATTTAGAATAATATTATATTATTAATTACGAAATTAATCTTATATATTAAAACAGAAGTCATGACTTCACTTCCTGTGTGATATTTTAAAATGGACCATCTAATAGAATTTATGACATTACATTATTCAATCATTAATAACATTTATTAGATTCACTAATAACATTTATTGGGATTACTAAAAATTTTTATTGGACTAATAAAAATTAGATGATCCATTAGATTTATAGATATTATTATAAAATACATGTTTAAATTAAACTTATATAATTTATTATTGTAATAGTATAAGTTAATTATTTATATATTTTTTTGTTAACTTTAAAAATTATATAGTTTATTTTTAAAAATAACAAAATCATCATTTTTTAACAATAATTAATCTATACTATATAATAATTAATCATCATTTTCGATATACACACCTTATATAATATATACCAATTTAGAAGTAAAAAATGTTTATATAAAAAAAAGGAAAATAAATACCCGCACGGTTGCGCGAGTTGAGATCTAGTTGATGCTTTATTTAACAAACCTATATTAAAATTTTAGTAGAATTTTGTTAGATTATTTCTTAACAGATTTTGCTATAAATAAAAAAAAATTCAAATTTATGGTTACAACTGATTTATTATTAATATTCTTATTGAATATGATGTCATATTATGTATCTAATGAAATAGACCTACTATGACTTTTGTCAGTAGATAAAAATAATAATAGAGTAGGTTATCAGCTACACAAGTAAATATATTCTCATGATCACATATTTGAACAATAGTACTAAAAACTATAGGAGCTATATGATCCTTACTAAGTTACTAGTATTATGTTTGTTAAATTATCAAATTATCAAATATCATTCTGATAGCTACAAAAATATATCGGACTTGGAATCTGACAAATGGGACCAAAACATACCTCTTTCTCGTTCGAGCATCCACTCGTGCGATATTAGCTACATCGGTCAAAGCTTGCACCCATTTCTGTTTCTCATCCTCTGATTTTCCCATGCACGTGTTTTCAAAGACCTTTCCAAAGTCTCCAGTCTGTTCTCTAACATCAGAAGGAACCACGTCGTAGAAGATGGGCACCACCGTTTGAGCAAACATTTTCTTGGACTTCATAATCTCTACCAACTCATCCAAGCACCTAGTCGAAGAGGCGTAGTTCTTTGAGAGCACAACAATCAAACCCTTCGATTCTCTTATTTCTTTTACAAGCTCTGGGCCAACCGACTTGCTTCTCTTCATCTTGCATTGGAGTTCCGAAAGAAGGTGGCTGATTTTATTACTGCAGTCATCTTCCTCACTGAAACTTGTGAAGATATGGTATTTCCAAATGCAAGAAGAAGAAGCCATGTCGACGGATTGTGTATGTGCAATCTCTGTACTTATTTCCTGTAGTAAACCATGTAGCATAAAAATACCAAGGGGAGACATATGTATAAGATACTTGCTGGCTAAGACCCCAAACACAGAACTAATCCGCACCCCAATGCTAGCTATAAGCGCTGCCAGGAAATCATCATCCTCTTCGTTGAACAGACTTGTGATGTAATTAAATACATTTCTATTATCCACGTCTAAATCATCATAGATAACCTTCAACACTTGTTCAACATCTTGATAAAAAAGCTTCTGCTGGTGATTCAGCGATGGAAGCGGTCGAGTTATGTTGGAACTGGCATCTTCTTCTTCACTCGCAGCAGTAAACACACGGACTCCACATTTCTTGACTGTACAACTCTCATCTATAATCTTCTTCTGTTTGTTCAGAGTATAGAATTCGAAGACGAGAAGACCAGCCAATATACTAGGGTCATCATTTTCTTCACATGTCCTCAGATGCATATCGAAATCACAGAAGACAAACGTGTGATCCATCTGAAGACCTTCCTCTGGAGTCCAACAATGAAAACTTTTTTCCATCCAATGAGAGACGCATTTATTGTCTTTCCATCTGCAAACACAACTAATTCCAAAACCACTAGCCTCGTGGTAATCCTCTGAAAACGAAACTTGCACAAAGATAGCAAAGCCAAGCGTGTTTCTTGTAGAAGAGTTCAGCTGTATCATCACAGAAGACCCTGGTTGCAAATCACATGTGAAATATGTACTTGTAGGTGAAGGCACGGTGAAGCTGAAAGCCAAT